CCCCTCACCCTGGCATCAGGCCTCGCAGGCGAGGGGCAGCAGGCAGGTGCTGGGCAGAGCTGAGAGGGGTCCCCGAGACCCTCTGCATCGGGGGACAGAGCGGGGCGCGGGGCGCAGGAGGGCACGGGGGCAGGAATGTGGCCACCCCCGGCTTCGGGCATGAAGGGAGCCTGGGGGGTGTGAGTGCATGGGGTGCTGGGTGCATGGGGTGTGCAGTGCACAGGGAGATGGTTGTGCAGGGTGCTGCGTGCACTGGGTGCTGTGTGTGCAGGGTGCTGGGTGCATGAGGTGCATGGTGCATAGGGGGATGGTTGTGCTGGGTGCTGCATGCACTGGGTGCTGGGTGTGCAGGGTGCTGGGTGCACGAGGTGCGCAGTGCACAGGGTGATGGTTGCGCGGGGTGCTGCGTGCACTGGGTGCTGGGCATGCAGGGTGCTGGGTGTACGGGGTGCTGGGTGCACTGGGTGCTGGGTGTATGGGGTTTGAGGTGCATGGGTTGCTGGGTGCATGGAGTGCTGGGTGTACGGGGTGCTGGGTGCACTGGGTGCTGGGTGTGTAGGGTGCTGGGTGTGCAGGGTGCTGGGCGCATGGGGTGTGAGGTGCACGGGTTGCTGGGTGCATGTGGTGCTGGGCACGTGGGGTGCTGGGTGCATTGGGTGCTGGGTGTGTGGGGTGCTGTGTGCGCAGGGTGCTGGGTGCATGGGGTGCTGGGCGTGCAGGGTGCTGGGGTGAGGGAAGGCACACAGCAGCACGGTGTGGCCCTGCCACCCCCGCGGGGACGCTGGGGGACACGGCGCAGCGGCGGGGCTGACGGGTCACTGGCCGGCTGTGCGGGCGGATGGGGCGCACGGAGCCCATCGCTCTCCCAGGCACGCTGGCGGACGGTGGCTCTTCGGCGGCGGTCACACATCCCCTGTCAGACGCCCCGCTCCCACCAGACGCCCCCAGTCCCGGCTGACGGCCCCGGCACCCACTGCCCTATCTCCCCTTCGTGGCGGCGTCCCGTGCTGAGCCAGGGGACGGCACCTCCATTGCTGGAGAAACGAGGTGCCAACGCCGACCAGGCACAGCGGCGCTCCCGAACCAACACAAGGCACTGGCCAGAGCCACTCAGCCCCAACTGCAGAGGTAGGAACACCCTACCGGGCTGGGTGCTGGCACCCGGGTGTCACCGGAGCACCCCGATCCCCCCCATGCAGCGGCGGTGGTGGTGGTGACGGCGGTGGCGGCAGACGATCCAGGGGATGCCCCTCTGGCAGCCCGGCTGGCGGCAGCCCCTGGTGCCCCACGGCGAGGTCGGTGATGGGATGCAGGGATGGGGCCGGATCCTTACCGGTCCGGGCTGCTGGTTGGACGGGTCGCAGGCCAGCGAGACGAGATCTTTCAGCGGGTCCTGCGGGTTGAGATGAGGCGGGTACCGAATGGCCGTGTGGGGGAAGTAGGTGGAGGCCGTCTGGGGGAGGATGGAGGTGGTGGGGAAATGCAGCGCAGACGACGGGTGTGGGCTTCGAGCGATACCTGTGGGAGAGAGCAGTAGACCCACCGGCGTCACTGCGAGCTCACCGCTGCCCCAGCCCCTCGCCCGCTCGCCCGCTTGCTCCGTGCCTCGGTTTCCCCGCCAGGACACTCACCGCTGTGCACCGCGATGACGGGACGGTGGTGCTGCGTGAAGCTGCTCAGCCGGGGCGAGGAGTCCTGGGGCGACGGGCTGTTGAAGGGGGACTTGTCCATCTCCGTCTTCTTCACGGTGGGGGAGATGCCTGGGGAAAGCGGGGCGCAGCGTCACGCCCCGGCACCCACCACGGGACCCCGACGTCCCGGTGCTGCTGCCAGCATGGTCTGGGGTTGGAGCGCTCGTTCCTGGGGCGAGGGGGGCCCTGGGGACAGGCTGGGCACGGGGAGGGTGCATGGGTGTGAGCGTGAGTGTGCGTGCACGTTGGTGCGTGCGTGGGAGGGTGCGCACGTGTGTGGGCATCTCTAGGGGTGGACTGCAGGTGTGCACGTGTGTGTGCACCAGCATACGGGTGTGCATGAGTGTGCACACACCTGTGGGTGTGCAGGTGTGTGTGCACCAGCATACGGGTGTGCATGAGTGTGCACACACCTGTGTGTATGTGTGCATGTGTGCGTGCACCAGCATACGGGTGTGCATGAGTGTGCACACACCTGTGGGTGTGCAGGCATGTGTACACGTGTGTGCACCAGCGTATGGGTGTGCATGAGTGTGCACACACCTGCGGGTGTACTCGCGTGTGTGCACCAGCAGGACTGTGTGAGCGCGTGTACACGCAGACGTGTCTGCAGGTGTGTGCTCGTGCACGGGCACCTGCCGGAGCGTGCGTGTGCACGCAACCGTGCATGCAGGCGCACACGTGCGTGCACGCAGGTGGACACAGCTCTGCGTGTGTGCGTGTGCCCATGCCGGGTGCAGAACCAGCTGCCCCCATGGGTGCCCCCGTCACCCTGCAGCCCCCCGCGGGCACCCACCTCCCCTGGCCCCGGCCCCCAGGACCCCCACGCAGCGCCGGATGCCTGGCTCTCCGAGGGCCACCCCGGGGCGCAGGGTCGAGCGGGAGGGGGCAGCGGGCGCGTTAATCCCCCGCCACCGTGGCTTTAGCTCTGGCCATTTGGCCAGGGCCTGGTAATGGGTTTAGCCCCTTCTCAGCCGGGGGTTAGGAGGATTTCCCAGAACATCCCGTACGGGATTGCCGTAACCCCCCGCTGCCCCGGCTGCCCGCGTGCCGTGCTTCGGGGAGGGGGTTCCGTCTGCCCCCGGGGCCCTCCTGCCCTCCCACCGGCCCCCCACAGCACCGGCCCCATGGGGCCTGGGGTAGGGCAGGATGGGGCACAGTCCCTGGCACACATGGGGCGTCGTCCTGGGGCAGGACTCGCCGCCCCCCAGTCTCCTTCTGACATGATCGGGGCCTCCAGCCCCCCCCAGCTGGGCACCCCCAGGATCGGGGCCTCCAGCCCCCCCTGACCAGGCAACCCCAGGATCGGGGCCTCCAGCCCCCCCGGCTGGGCACCCCCAGGATCAGGGCCTCCAGCCCTCCCTGGCCGGGCACCCCCCAGGCTCTGGCAGGGTTGGGGGGCCGGGACAGATCCTGCCCTGCCGTTGGGGGTGCGGGGAGGCAGGATAAGAGCCAAGCCAAGGTGCCCCGGGGCGTGGGAGCCGCAGTGCCAGCCCGGCAGCATCGCTTTAATTAGCCCAGCCCCCCCCTTCCTTAATGAACAGCTAATTGGGGCTGTCTAGACAGGAAAGGGAAAAAAAATGCCAAGCAAGAAAGCAAGCTGTCCGTAGCGCCAGCGGCCGCCGGGGAGCTGGGAGAGGCCGGCGTGGGGCTGGGGCACTGGGCTGGCCCTATAGAGAGCACCTATAGAGAGAGAGCATCCTATAGAGAGCCCGAGACTCCGATAGAGAGCCGGTGGTGGAGGGGGGGGGGGGGGGGGGTCCTGTAGCAACACCGCGGCACCTACAGAGAGCCTGTGCCTAAATGGGGGGGGCTATAGCAATACCGTGGCACCTATAGAGCCTGTGCCCAAGCAGGGGGGTCCTATAGCAACACCATGGCACCTATAGAGAGCCTGTGACTTAATGGGGGGCGCTGTAGTAACCCCACAGCACCTATAGCCTGTGCCTTGCTGGGGGGCCCTATAGCAACACCACAGCACCTATAGCCCGCTCTCGCTTTGGCCTGAGGGCCCTATAGCAACACCACAGCACCTATAGCCAGCTCTCGCTTTGGCCTGGGGGCCCTATAGCAGCACCACAGCACCTATAGCCAGCTCTCGTGTTGGCCTGAGGACCCTATAGCAACATCACAGCACCTATAGCCAGCTCTCGTGTTGGCCTGAAAGCCCTATAGCAACGCCACGGCACACAGAGTGCCCAGGCTTTCCCGGGGGGGTCTGACAGCGGTGTCCGTAGAGACCCGGTGAGCTGGCTGGGGGGCCCTATAGCAGCAGGAGGGCACCTATAGGGTGGCTCCTATAGGGAGGCACCTACCCCCTTCCATGTCTTCTGTCCAGTTGCGGCTGCTGCTGGTGGGGGAGTTGGAGGAGGTGTAGTACTCGCCCCCCGGGCTGGTGTCGATGTCGTCCTCCATGGACCCCGACTTGTGCCGTTTGCTCCTGGCGGGGCAGGGAAGGGATCAGCGCCAGCCCATGGCAGGATTCGGCCTGTCCCCCCATCTCCCCCGCGGTGAGATGGCCAGCGGCCCGCGGCCGTGCTCGGGCCGGCCCCGGCATCGCCCCGGCATCGCCCCAGCGGCACCTACCCGCTGGAGGAGGTGCTGGGCAGCGTCCTCCTCATGCCGGTGCTGGAGGGGTTCAGGTCGTAGGCCAGGTGGCCCTGCAGCTCCCCCAGGGAGAAATTTGGCCCCGTGCCCGTCACCACCGGCGCTGCGGGGAGAGAGGGGGATGAGGGGGGGCCTGGCATTGCCCCCCACCCGGCAGGGAGGGGAGCCCCAGCCCGCAGCCCCGGGGATGGGGGAGCTGTCGGGGTGTTGCCTTGCCCAGGCAGCCAGAGGGGTGGTGGCATTATGGTGGCACTCACTTCGGGACACCTGGATGAGCTCGGTGACGCTGAACACCCCCGAGGTGACGAAGCTTTCCTGGAAGTCTGTCGAATCTGCACAGGAGAGAGGAGGGAGCGCTGCCGGGGGGGGGGACAGGACCACTCCTCCTGCCCCGCGCTGTCTTGTGGCGATGGTGGAGGGCACCCCAACGTCCCCAAATCTCCCGTAAGGCCACCCGCCCCCCTCCTCAGCCGGCTTCGCTCCACTTCCCTCCCCCAGCAAGGGATGGGACCACCCTGACCGGTCCCCTCTACCGAGGATGCCGTGGGGCTGCTCCGTGCCTCAGTTTCCCTGTGGCTGAGAGCACCAGCAGGGCTGGGGGCTGCACCCCCACCGTGGGACCCCCATGGCAGCTGCTGTCCCCAAGGGACATGGCCCCGGCGGGGCTCTGCCGGCTGTGGGACGAGGCTGAGGCCATGCACAGATCACTGCAGGCACCAGGCAGTGGCTGACGGGCTCGGGGGCACCACAGCAGCTGGCAGGAGCCGCCAGCGCAGACAGCGTGACCGCTGCCTCTGCCGCAGGGACCCTGGGGACGGGCTTGGGTGTCCCTCGACCCCTTGCCGGAGCCCTGCCCGCCTCGCTCACCCAGCGTGATGGGTTTGCTGTCCTCCTGGTCTGAGCCGATGCCCGTCCGGGGGCTGCTGCTCTGCTCTGCATCTGCAAGAGGAAAAAAAACACCGGGATGAGCCACTCCATGCTGGTACAAGCCGGGGAGACCTGCCGGCTAACTGCCCCGGCAGTCTCCCTCACCGCTCTGCTGCGGAGGGGTAAACTGAGGCACAGTCTGGCCAGTGGCTCCCACCCCACAGGAGGACCACGACCGAGCTGGCATGTCCCCAGCCACCAAGTGTCCCTCCCTGCAGCCCCTCCGCCGGTGACAGGAACAGGAACACCCCCGTGCTGGCATGCAGGACACAGGCAGTGCTCCCCGCAGGAGGGAAACCTGCCCCGAGGCAGGGTGATGGCCGCCGGGTTCCACTCCTGCCTCCTCTCCTTCCTCCAGCCGCCGCCATGACCCATCCCTGCTCCACCACGCAGCGTCACCGCGGCTGAGCATCGCCCTCACCGTGGCTGAGCATTGCCCTCGCCGCCCCGTGGCACCTCGTCCTGCCTCCCCCAATCCCCTTGGAGGGCAGCAGGGCCCCGGGGCAGCACCCGCTCTGACCCCCGAAGCCCCCACAGTCCCTGCTCTGTCTTAGCTAAAAATAACCCGGCTCAGACACTGAGCTCAGCGGCACCGGCACACCCTGCCACGGCACGGCACGGCACGGCCGGCACACCGCCTGGCTCCCTGCGCCCCACCGGGGCCTGAGCCACGCTCGGGAGCATCCTTCCTCCCCAGCACAGGCTCAGCCGCGGGGCCCTCACCCGGCTGCTCCCAAAGCTTTTCCAAAACTTTCGCCGTGTATTTCCCCCCCCTTTGTCCTTCCTCCCGCTCCTCCATCCTCCTCCTCCTCCCACCCCTTGGCCTTCGGCGGTTCTCTTTCGCAGCTTTGGCTGATGCCGGGAAAGGGCTGCAACAATCCAAACAACACCATCAAAACAGA